TGTCCTACACACAACTGAAGTTCACTGGATATTTTCTCTTTTTCGGACCATTCTCTGTAAACCCCAGTAGATCAGCAGTTTTTGAAACAGACCAACCCATCTGCTACCAACAACTATGTCACATTCAAAGTCACTTAAATCCCCTTTCTTCCCCATTCTGATGCTCAGTTTGAACTTCAGCAAATCGTCTTCACCACATCTAGATGCCTACATGTATTGAGTTGCTGCCATGTGATTGGCTGATTAGCAATTTGTGTTTCCAAGCAATTGAACTGCTGTACCTAACAATAATGTGGCTGGTGAGTGTTTTATAACCTGCAAATTATATTATTTTACTTGTCGTTATTTGGTTTACTAATGCAATGACCAATTGTATATTTCTATTCAAATCTTAATAAAAATCTGTCTTAAACAGTAAACTAGCCCAGTCTAGGTCCACAAATCCAGGTCTGAGATTTGTCAGAGCTTGAAGAGCTTTCCCATTCTTACAATTGTGTAGATGACTCCAACATGAGCTGAGATTATAATTTGTTGCTCTTGCCATCCTCTGATTTAATGTTTGCCTTTAGATATCTGATACTGTCACTACCAAGGCATCTCTGCAGTGTGACACTGATCCCTCATTTGTAAGTGCTATATAAATGATTATATTGATATGATTATTAAATGCCTCTTATCCACTGTCAAATACATCTCTTTTATGTCTTCCATGGCATTCTACTGCTCAGAATTCTCCCAGCCATAACACTTCAGTCAAACCCTGCCTCAGGTGCTGCTTTATGCCGGGAGCCTGGTGATTTAAATGGAAGTGTGCGATGAAGGCATCTCCCTCCATGGTAATGAGATCTGCTCGGAGTGCAGTACTTGTGATGACAATGAAGGTTATGATTTAGGTATAATACCATAAATCAGATTACAAAATAGGTGGCAGAGCACAAAACGGAGCTCAGTGCAGTGTGTTTGTGCAGTATGCAAAGAAATTGGTAGGAGAACTTACAAGTGATTATTAAACCCCAAACAAACACACTACAGCCTCCCAACCATCCTGGTGTCCCTTTAAACAGTTCTGAATGCCCAGGGGGCAGAAAGGATCAGCAATCATGTGACCACAGTAACAGCAGTCACATGATCGGAAGCTGGTCCCTCCAGCTACTGAACCTTAGTCTGGACTTAGAGTTGTCTTGGACAGCTAGGTCTTTGCATAGGTAGGCCCGGAACAAAACAAAATTAAGCGCAGGGATGACATGACTGGGGGGAATAGAGGGACAATATATAGGGTTAAAAGAAGAGTAGGAAGTTTTGGGAGTATGGCTTACCTGATTGGATAGGGATGTTGGAGAGGATTCACAGGAAGGAAAAGGAGTATCCAACCTCAGGAAGTCCAGTGGGGAAGTTGGAAGAAGAAGCTTCCCACCCTCCCTCCCCTTCGTGCTTTGGTTTGGATTGTCATTGCAGCCTTGGCAGTGGTTGGTCATTGGAGAGGAAAGAATTCTGTATGGAGACAGATTCGGGACCCATCAGTGGTATGGGGACCTCGGTACATTCCGGTTAACAAGGGGTTAACTCGGAATAGGTAATATGGTGGTCACTGTGGATAAGTAGGGTTATCTTCGAGCGAGTGTGTTGTGGCTGGGGATATGTAGGATTGTCCCCAAGGCGGTGTGGTGAGGCTAGGGGCCTAAGTTGGAATGTTTTCCGCAAAAGTTACATTGGGTTTATGGCCCTCAAATGACCACCACGTTTTTCCTCTGTTTCTAATTTTTGTTATTTATGTTGAAATAATTTATTGGTTAATAAAAGGCTGCTATTGCCATTTTGACTCCAGAAACTTGGTTTGTGTATTTTGTATAGCTGGAAGGGTAGAGGGTATGGCCTAGCAGGCTTGGTTAGGTTGGAAGTCGTATATTCTACCCTTTTCAAGGGAGCGGACAGTGAGTTCACTCTCAGCACATAAACACCGGCCACCCAGAGATGCATATGCCTGGCACATGGACGTTAATGCCCACCCTTTTGTACGTATGTGTTTGGCAGCCGTAGAGGAGTCAATAACAGTGTGGGTTTGATTTACTATAACTGGAATGTGCAAAGTTTGGTGCAGCTGTTCATAGTAGCCAATCACCTTTTAACTTCAGCTTGTTCAGTTTAGCTGTGAAAAAAAAAAACCTAGAAGTTGATTGGTTTGTGTGCAGAGCTGCACCAGAATTTGCACACTCCAGTTTCAGTAAATCAACACCTGTGTGTGTGTGTTATATATATATATGTGTGTGTGTGTGTGTGTGTGTGTGTAGTACAACCCCCCAGCAGCTGTGACATTTTGGATCAAGGTTGGGCTCTTGACATTTATGTGGGGTGTGAAGAATTGGGCACCAGTCAACAAAATGGTTAAGAGTTTATTTGGCCTGAAAAACCCATATTCAGACGTCAAATCCTACTTACTGACAATATCAAAAAAGACCTTTAAGCTAGATTGCCTCTCCAGAGTATTCTTACTGTAGAGCAATTTCAGCACACAAACCCACTGAAGGAGCCACCAGACTTTTTGCCATGTCCAACCCATACCAGCTTGCCTGAACACTGTTCCAGTAGAAGAAGTTCACCCCTATTGCTCCAATCCAAGTTCCACCTTTGTTCCTCCTGAGTGGTCCCTCAGACAAGGCAGTGGAAACTTCCAGGCCTTCCATCTTCAAGCATGTGCCTTCCCCAGACAGCAGGCCTGGTCGGTCAGAGAACAGCTGAACACACGTCCACCTCAGGCAAAGCCTGGGAGGCAAGAGAGCTTCCAAAAGTTTCCCAAAATATATATACCTTACTTAAGCATGCACCACTGACAATAAACCTCTTAGTGGTTGGCCAGAAGATATAAATATTCATAACTCAATTTTAGTATAGGGACACTTCTGCAATGTCCCTACGTTTGGTTTTTATTTGGTTGAAAATACCTGTTGATCCTGCCAGTGGCTCTGTCTTCCTGCCTTGCTGTGGCAATGATGTACATGCTTTGTTATTCTCTGCCACCTCATTGTGTATGCTCTAGGTCTGTTAAAAAAAAAAAGAAAAAAGCTGTAGCTACATCACGGACAACAACACTTTACGGGGAGATCAAAGCACTTGATTGACCATGGGGTTAATTTCCTAAAGGCAAATAGACTGTGCACTTTGCAAATGCAGTTGCTCCAGGGCTTAGTAAAGAATACCCAGTCGCATGCAGGGAAAATGAAAAAAAAATGAATTTTTGCTTGCACATGATTGGATGATAGAAGCCAGCAGAACTTTCCCTCATTAAGTAAGTTCTGGTGCACCTGCACTCACAAAGTGCACAGCCTATTTTACTTTAGTAAATGAACCCCAGTAGCTCCTCCCTGGAGCCTTGCTGCCATTTGTTCTTGAAGCAGTCTTGCAACGCTGATTGTCAATACTACTTTCACCCCTCCATCAGTGCTCAGAAAATAGAGGACAGATAGTGGTTCTGTGACCGCTCAAAAATAATTGAGGAAAAAATGCATTTGCAGCTATTTTTAATGTATCTCCCTCCTAGATAGGTGCTAGCTTAAGTAAATGTAGCTACTGGCTTTTTTTAGTTTAGTCTGTACTGTGTTTCACTGGCTGCAAGGTCGGTACTTGTCTGTTAATTCACCGGATTTATTTATTTAAATATTTATTATATTTAAATATTTAATATACTTTATTATATAATTATATTATTATTTATTTCATTATTTCATTATATTTTATATTTATTATATTTAAATATTATTATTAAATATTTATTTATTTAAATAAATCCGGTGAATTAACAGACAAGTACCGCAAAGGTCAACCGTTTTACTCTGTGTGACTGGAAGAGTTCTATAAGATAGAGGGTTGGGAGAGTCAAACCAGCAGCTGAAAATGTATGCAGCCATGGCCAAACCCTGGGAGAAGATGCCCAAATAGTGACTGGGAGGGAGTATAAATAGCAGCCTGGGTCTTGGATCAGAAAGATTATTGTCCTAGAGGAGGAGATCCCAGCTTGGAGGGCTACTGCCCTCCTGGACAGGCCTACCATGTGTCTGCTACTCATTGAGGTCCCAGCTAGACTAGCAGGGGGGCCTATAATGTTGTAATTAGCTGAAGAAAAACACAAAAGGGTGCACTGTCCTTGTCCATTACCGTGGTTACAAATTAATTTATTAAAAATGTAACAAATGGATACTTACAAAACAAATGTAAAAAATTAACATGAAGCCAAATGAGTCAATGTCACACGACTGGAGTCCTATGAAGATAGTGCCCATTGGTAAAATACTGACGCCTTTCGGGAGTTGAACTCCCTTTTTCAAAGCTAAGATGGCAAAGAATGCCCATGCCACATATATAGGGAGAATTACTGATTGAAATCATCACCACACCCCCACCATGGAAAATAGCCCCACTGCTGGTTCTTAAAGCTATTTGCTGCGTGTGTCACTTCCATTAATTAAATAAAATGAAATAAATGGTGCTTGTACAAAGATGTGTGCAAACAGTAAACTGTATGCCGCAAGCAGAAATGATATGAAAGACTTACTGTATGTGGTATGATGTCCCTAAATGGGAAGAGGTGGAGATCACCATGGAGCCTCATAGAATCTGGAGAGTGTGGAGACATGTGGAGCGCACGCCATGATGGCACCAGACGTCGCTCCGGGGACTGAGCGCCACTGGGAATAATGCAGGGCACACGTGCCATCTCAAACGCACCCACAGGAAGTGCATCATCTGTAGGGCGGAAGTGCACCAAGAAAATGGGCAAAGGAAGCATATGACAGCTTCCACACAGAAGGATGGGACTGTTAAGGGGCCAAAGACAAATGAATAGTAATGATACTGAAAATGTAATTTGTATAAATTACGTCCTACCTGTATAAATTACATTTTCAGTATCATTACTATTCATTTGTCTCTGGCCCCCTAACATTCCCTTCCTTCTGTGTGAAAGCTGTCATATGCTTCCTTTGCCCATTTTCTCAGTGCACTTCCACCGTACAGATGATGCACTTCCTGTGGGTGCATTTCAGATGGCGCGTGCGCCATGCACTATTCTCACTGGCGCGCATGCACAGTTCCCGGAGCGACGTCCGGTGCCATCAAGGCGTGCGCTCCACGCTCCACATGTCACCACATGTCTCCACACACTCCAAATTCTATGAGGCTGCACAGTGATCTCCACCTCTTCTCCATTTAAGGGACATCATACCACATACAGTAAGTCTTTTATATCATTTCTGCTTGCGGCATACAGTTCACTGTTTGCACACATCTTTGTACAAGCACCATTGATTTCATTTTATTTAATTCATGGAAGTGACACACGCAGCAAATAGCTTTAGGAACCAGCAGTGGGGCTATTTTCCATGGAGGGGGTGTGGTGATGATTTCAGTCAGTACTTCTCCCTATATACAGGACATGGGAATTCTCTACTATCTTCGCTTTGAAAAAGGGAGTTCAAATCCTGAAATACATAAGTTTTTCCAACTGGGCGCCATCATCACAGGACTCCAGTCATGTGACATTGACCCATTTGGCTTCATGTTCGTTTTTTACATTTGTTTTGTGAGTATCCATTTGTTATGTTTTTAATAAATTCATTTGTAACCACGGTAATGCACAAGGAGAGTGCGCCCTTTTGTGTTTTTCTTTTGCTAGTATCAAGACTCCTCCATCTTTAGAGGGCTGCACCTCACTAAGTGACAGATACCGTTTTACATGTGGAGCATGAAGATTAGAGTGCTGTTGTTTGTTTCCTTTGGATGTACTTGTAATTAGCTGAGCCTGACTGAGGGACTTTCATCTGGGGATCTGGACTGATATCACAGGAAAGATGTCTGGAAGTTATTGGAAGAAAGCATCAAATTATCCAAGGACATTAGTAAGTACAGACTGGTGCAAGAGATCCCTGAGACTGTGTGCTGCTACTATCCCTCTTGTGCTAGAGTCAGCATTGCTCAAAGTGGACATTATTCATGGTGTCCTGGTAAAGCTCAACCTAATACTTGCTGCAAGCAAGGACTGTGCTCAGATTCCTAGGAGGAACATTAGTGTCCTCAAGTTTCTTCTCAGAGTTACTGAAGTATTCCAGTTACTCTAAACCAGCAATTCCAGTTCTGCAATAAACCATCAGAAAAGCATAACCCTAGACTGGTTATTGAGCCAATAAAAGTGACTGGAACTGCATGCCTGGCTGGGGGTGCAACTACAGGAAAAGAGCCAAGGGACCTAAACAGTGGGTTCTTACGGGAGTGAGCGCTACATTGAGATAATTCTTCTAATATGAAGGTTAAAGGAAGCCGTTTGAAGGGTGTTTTTTTGATTGGGTAGCCTCTTGGTTTATATATGCTTTAAATCTAACTCCAACATTACAATCTGATAAAATATAATGTAAGCAAATGTCCTAACTGCCTCCTACTTTCATTCCTTCTTATACTGGTGCTGTTTGGTTGTCCATTGACTGATAACACAAAAAATGAAGGGCTTTGCATAAACTTTTAGTGAAGTTGTCCTTGTTGCCCCCCTTTCCCACCTCCCTTACCAGAGGGTAAATGCTCCCTGCAGTCCCATTTTGGAAATCTATACTGTGCTGCCCAGTACCACACAGCCAGCCAGGCCTGATCACAAACTAATGCCCGTTTTTTTTTTTTATGGATGGGTCCATCTTCATAGTGAAGTTGTCTTTTAACTAACTTTGACTCAGAATGTACTGAATGCAGAGAAAGCTGGGCAACTAACATTTCCAAAAAGAAGGTCAAAAAAAAGACAAACTGTCATTTTTTTCTGATAGCAGCAATGCTGCAAATCTTTTTTTCAGGCTTTTTTCTTTTATGTTTTCTTCTTCTAAGCTGCCGGTTTCCTATCTGACCTATACAAGGGATTAATTCAGGCTTCTGTTTCACTAACTGTCTCTGTAAAAGTGATCTAGAGTTTAGATGAAATGCTTCAACCTACTGTCCCCTGTACAATGGCCAATAGGTCACAAATTGCTGTTTTGTGACCTTTCAGACATCTAAAGTAGATGGTTAAGTGTTAGCAGGCGTCATGGAAATCTGTACATAAGCAGTGTCATATTGAGGTTGCCCCATTTACGTACTCCATAGTTATACTGCGTATAGCTATTCTGTACTGAAATCACCTGGATTTTAAAGAACAACTCCGTCTAAGCAGCTGAAACACTTTCTACTACCTGTTGGGTCTTGGTACTCAAAATTTATCAAGGCTCCTGAACAAAAAGGAGAATGTCTATCCAAGTGTTTGAGTGGAGTGAGAAAGGGTTTGATTGCTGCTGTTTGATCTATTTTAAAATGCAGAAGCTTCCAGGTGTCTGCATGCATCATCAGTGCCCCAAAACCTGCAAAGTTCAACCAGAAATGGTATTGTCATGCTCTGGCCCTCCATCCCAGTGCTTTATTATTGAACAATGATGGTATTTATCATATCTAATGGCTAGGGTCCACTGTGTCAGCTCTGGTTGCTGTAACAGAGTGCCCCCTGGATCTGAGGCCTTCTGGAGCTCTGGAAATTGTCTTATGATTCTGGGTTGAAACATAGGCTGAAGAAGGGCTTTCCTTGGGTGCACCATCAGAGGAGGCTGTCAAGGTCCTACCTTTCTTCAGAGCTTGTGCATCTCCATGAGCTGGCATCCATCTTGGTTTTCTGCAAAGCATGGTGGGAACCTTTATGCCTTCAGGCTTCTGCGGTTCCTCCTCTCAGAAGGGTGTGGTTGAGCACATTTAAACCTGCTGTCTGCAAGTGTGCTCTGCACTTGTGTCCTGTATGTTGCCCTGTTGCAAGCTCTTGTGTTGTTTCCTTTGCTCTCCTGGTAACCGACTCGGCTTGGACAAGACTACTCTCTGCGTTAACCCTTTATCTGACCTCCCGTTGCTGAACCCGGCCCGTGACCTGAGTATTCTTTGCCTACCGTCTAGTACTGTCTGCTCCGTTGTTATTGACCCGGCTTGTCTGACTACTCTACTCGTGTTCCCATCTAGCTCCCACCAGCTGTACGCCATTGGCGGCAGTCGTTATCGCAGCTGGGGTCACTCGGGGGCCGCGACCTGGTCTCAGGCTGCAACAAGTCCATCCCCACCATCAGGGGCCCTGGTGAAGGGTAGCCTGGGGCTTAGACTCCGCGCCCTGAGGGACTCTGGTCTGTGGGTAGTGGCTGTCGTCAGTCGCAGCGTGACCTACCATAGGCCTGCCTGCCCATTCCAGCGTTCCTGCCCTGACAGAGGCTCCACCACTTCCATGTCCAAGTCTTGCCATTCCACCCTTGCTCCAACTACCTTCGATGCTTGTAGCCCACCAGAAGAAAAGGACATGAAAGACTCCTGATGGTGTCATCTTTTAGGCTACATCTCCATACTTATGTTCTCCTTCTGCCCACACCTTATAGTGGAAGGCTCTTAGCATGTTATGACACTGATACAAGAAGGGGTGGGGCTACATTTATTGTTAGGTTTGTGAGGTGCTATAAGAAGAAGGAATGCATTTCTTCTGAATATTTTTTTTTTTTCTTCCAAAAAATATTTTATTAGAAAAAAGAAGGCATAACAGTGCATATACAGGTATGGAACCAAGTCGGGACAAAACACAGCATGACGTTTCCCGTTTCGCAGACGGGTCAAAGCTTAAAAAGCATTACAGATCAGACCGGTGTAAGACATTATGACAACATAATATTACAATCCAGCAAACATACAGAGTATAGGACAGAAAGCATTGAAATAGATTGTCTTCTGACTTAAGAGCAGGTTTCCACATCAAGGAGTGTGGAATGTTGAGTAAGAAAAGCACATGATGCTGCGTCTGTTATGTTTCGTGTGTCCATCGGTTGAGTAATTGAGTTATATGGAGTATAGCACACCTGTTTGAAGATCAATGCTCTGTATTGTTTGTGATATATAAATGATAGGAGTTGGATACAGGTGTGAACTAGATAACGGACAGAGACAGGGTTAGTTACAGAAGAGTATGTAGGGTAGTATAGTGGGGGAAAAGTAAGTGTATAGGATAGAAAGGAAGGGGAAGAAGAGAAAAGAGAAAAAAAAAAGGGGGGGGGGGAGGGCTTTGGGTAGGGTAAAATGGGGAAGTAAAGTGTATACTTGAGGATAAATGGCTCACTTCATGTTGAATGAGTCGCGCTACTGAATAATTAAATGGTAGTGGCCGAACTGCTGTTGGATAGAATGAAGTGCTGCTGGGTCGGTGAGAGTAATGATGGGTGGTAAGAAGATACTGAGAGGGTAAAATGTCATTGAATAAGGGGAAATGACAATGCAGAAGGGTAAAATGTTGCAGGTGTCTGGAATTAGAGTTGAAGTGCTATTGTGTGATTTATTTTGCCATTGAATAGTATACCATTCCACTGACTAATATAACATACTGCTATGTTATCAAATTTGCTGCTGTGGTGTGATATCTGATCGCTGGATGATCTATCTTGCTCTTGCAGTGTATTACATTTTGCAGGTGTAAAAAGATATGTTATTTATATAATTTACAGGTATGGCATGATGTCTTGTGCTTTTGTGGTTTAATTGGCTTGCTGTGGGGACACTCAGCGGGGGGGCAGCAGCAGAAAGTAAGTATGACATGTTTGCTTACATATACTTTAATGTTCTATGGTGTCACCACATCATTCCCTATAATAGCTTAATGTAATTTGTAATATGACATTTTAACTGACAACTTTGCCTTGAGTTTTCAGCATTTATAGCTGATTCTCATGCAGTCATATATACGTATCCCACATGGCACCTCTTAAGGGTTTTAAAACTTATGGGTAGAGCAAAGGATTAAACCCCTCTCAGGTTTTATTTTTGCTGTCTTAGAACAGCTAGACATATTTCATTTTACTTTCTGTCTTGGAGATGCAACCAGAAATGAGGGCAAATTACTCCAAAGTGAGATTTTGATCTGAAACAGTTGTTGGCAGAATATTTGTCCCTACTGGAACATTCACCCTCAATTATTGCTCTCATTACAACTCTAAAACGTAGGATTTCCCCTCACTTTCTGTTTTGGTAACAACAGTCAAGAAAAATTGAAGGGTGAGTCTAACCCCTCTCTTTCCTAACTTTATCCAAACCTTAACAAAAATAAGTTTTACTTGTGCATACTCTTTAAAGACCCTGTAAGAAACATAACATAAGATAACATAACATAAAATAACATGTTTTTCTGGCAGTTGCAGGCTGACAACAAACAGCATTTTTGTAGATTGAGTGGTGTCATCCCTACCCAGCTGGTTTTTTGCTAAACTACTCAAACCCACCCACTGTCCTATCTGTACAGTATAGACACTAAGGGGCCTATTTGTAA